CCCCCCACACATCAAACTATCACACACACCATAACAATACACAGCAAGCAGCTCACCAGACTCCTCAGGGGATGTAGACTAATTAATGGAAGAAAAATCCCTCAGGTTCCGTGAAACATACTCTCCTTTCCCAGATGCGCCAATCTCTGAGAACTGGAGGACTATCACTGTGTTCACCTATTCTCAGTCTCTCCGTCTAAGCATTTATTCTGGCCTCCTACAGCAGTAGGAAATAAGAGAATAAACTAAGTATCTCAGTGCAGTCATCCTTGTACCTATTCCAGAGCAGGAACAGTTGTAGCATCACTAGCTTTCTTCCAACATCACGAGTTGTGTACACATGGAACAGGAGCTGATGCTTGCTGAGCTGACTCTTGCAGAGACAGCATGCTAGGAAAGGATGAGACAGGAGTCATGGAAGATTGGTTTCAACCTAGCCCATACCAGATTCAGGCAAGGATGGCTACAAAGCCACTGCATACCTGTTCTTCATTCAAATAATGCGATAGCAGTAAGTTGTACAGATGCTTTCTTCTTTCATTTGCATACAGGGACCCATACATGAAAACAGCATCATACACTGGTTTAAGACAACAAATTCTTCCTGATGCGTACAAGTGGAGCAATTTGTCCTTTCTAGAACAAAGTGCAAGGAACACAGGAGCAAGTTTCCATGTGATTAAAAATTTGAAGACTATAATTACTATTACACACTAATTCTCAGCAATAGCTTCACTATTTCAGCTTCAACTATCACTTCTATTTTTTAAATCGATCCCATAGCTAGAGGACATTGCATGAGAATCGAGTACAGATGCCACCTAGAAGCCAGAGCAGATATTGTATCAGTCTCTGCTTTCCTTATTTCAAAGACCATGAAGTATACATTCATCTTCTGGGTGTATGTATTTTACTGCTAAAAGAGTTAATATTCCTTTAAGAAGAATCTGACTTGGAGTCTGCCAAGGCAAGACCTTGCATTCCTCACCACTGCCACAAGCTATGGACTATAAGTTATGAAGATTTTAACTGTAGGAGAAAAAGCCAGAGCAAGCTCCTTTCTCCAACCCTACAGAGCATGCCTAAGAACCTAGATAAACTAAAGTTTATTAAGTCACAAGTCAAGCTCTGTAGGAAATGTCCCATTGTAGACCTACATCTCATATGCCCTTCAAACGTACTTTTTAAAACATTTCATAGCATATGTGCCTTTTTTTCCATACAAGGAGAATAAATTGCCAACAGGGTGGGCCTGAGAAAGTACATATTAAAAGAGAACTTTGTTCAGGGTTCTAGTTTACAGTCATTATAGATAACTAATGAGCATCTTAAGCATTCAGCAGAATTTAAAGTATTCCAGAACTGAAACAGGCTACAGAACGCATGCAGCAAAGTGACTGAACAGCACGCGAGGCAACAGCCTCAGTCTCTACTTATGGCCCTGCAAACCGCAGATCTGTTAACAAAGCCACAATGAAAACATCTGAAAACATTGTAAAGAAGCCCATCTTTACATATCTTAAGTGGAACATGTGTATTCCCTGCATATATGCATCAAGAATTTGAAGGCAGAAAAGACATAAATTATAGCATTGTAGATTCATGTTGTACTGCCTGCCCAAACATCAATCTGCAAGACTCTGGTATTAATAAAGATAGAAATTAACACAACACACACAAGTTACTATTTTCTCATGTGAGGACACATACTACAACTTAGTATAGACCAGCTCTACAGAAGAACATAAGAATGTTGTCTTCAACAGAAAAACATGACAAGTCCAATCTGAAAGATAAACCAAGTTTATTTAAAACAAAAAGACAGTGGTATTGCCAAGATTGAAAAAAATGAAAGGTTCTTTTACTGATGTGACAAGACAGCCAATTTACAGCAGTTACAGTAATTCTGAGAAAATCAAGCTGGGTTTATACTGCTTCAATTCACTACATGTACTTTCTACAAGACGAACTGGTTCCCCTGCCCTCCCCTTCCCCCCAAAAAACAGACAAAAACATTCTATAAAAAATGTACAGAATTTTGAGACACATGATTGAAACACGAACCATTGTCCAAAAGCCTGAAACTTTCCAACAAGGTTAAATCCTTTGTTGCTTCAACCAACCCTCAATGGAGGAGCTACAAGCACAACACCGTCACCTCTGACAAAGAGCATCGGAATATTCCTTTTGGTAGACTAGGAAGAAGGAAAGAAGAGTTTACATTTACAAAAGCATAGTTTACAGAACACATCTGCTAAGCATAGAACCAAATTTAATCATAATAAACACCAGAAACAACTCCAACAAATCTAAACTAAAACAGACAACTTTCTGGCATGCTGAAGAAATCAATACAACTAACATCAAGTCTTTGGATTCCCTTTGTACTTTTATAAAAATTTGCAAAAGCTTCTTTTAGATCTTGGTTCAAAAAGAAGTCAGCAATAAACTACTTTAACAATATAACATAGTTTAGTTTTAAAAATGTTTTCTATGGGGATAAATACACTAAAGTCCTTACTTTATAAATCTCTTCATAGGTTTCTTCATCAATCTCTATTGTAGTTACAGTTTCTTCCACATCACCCAAAATCATATTTAAGTGCTGATCATATGCCTGTAGGAATGAAGTTAATTTACTATTATTTCTTCCAAAATCCAAACGCAAGCTCATTAAAATGAGAATTTTAGCAAGACTTTCAGATATAATTAGTTTAGCCTGATTTTGACCAAAATGTGCCACTATGTCAAAACAAAGTAGAATCAGCTATAGTTATGATATCAAACAAATGCCAAATCAGTACTCTGCAGCATAAAAAATGAGGGAAGACACTTACATTCACTGAAACACTCTTCTGGGAAATAGCTCTGAAGCTTTCAGAGAGAATATATGCAAGAAGTCAGAGACAGACGCACTTCATTAACATTAAACCAGCTACACATTCTCTGCTGCCAGTCCAGCCTCCTGGAATTGACTGTCTGGGGCCAACTTAAATGATATTAAAGCTGTAATTCATATGATGCTAGAAAAACTTAAAATACGAGCATGTTCCAAACACCTTACGAAAGCATGTTGCAAACTACACCAGTACCTCAGGATCTCTCCTCATCTTTGTGTTCTCAAAAAGAGTTGAGGCCCAGTTAACACATGGTTCTCTTCCTCAGCACAGTACAGTCCTCAGGAAGGATGACTGACTTAATGGAAAGCAAAAATCTCTCTCGTTGAGAGACATACCACTCTCAGAAGAAAGCACTTAGACAAATGAGATTTGCAGAGATTCCAGCTGAGTACATATCCCATCATACCCTCACAGGGTGTGCCTTAAGAGATACTTGTTTGATAACAATAAACCCATTCTTAATTCAGTATTAAATAGACCTCAGGGTACTTTACAAGAAGAGGCCTGCAGCATTATTGCTTATTTCACAGACACAGAAACACAAGCTAAACGCAGTGGAATGAATTGCTTGGTATCATTCAGGAGTCAAGAAAAACAAGATACATCTCTTAACTCTCTAAAGAAGCATTTAAGAGTAGACTACTGAAGAAAGATTTTTCCACCGATCACATTACACTCGATAAGAGTTTGGCTCATTACTAAGATGATCTTTAACCTACCTTCTCTAACCACTTCCATACTTTTAACTACGAGATACAATTACTTGTGTTTTTAAAAAAATTTTTTAAACAATCAATGGAATATTACAGATAAGCTTGTTTACTAGACTGTTGTACATGAGCAAAAGGCTGCCTAGTGCTTAGCTGAGTACGCACGGTAGGGCTCTGAAAGTTTTACTTACATGTAGTCTGCCTCTAAGCTCTCTGTCATTCCTCATTTTGACATAGATACGCTCATCTAGACTGAGTCTGATGAGATCAAGTGGCTCCTCTACGGTATTTGTTGTTTGTTGCTAAAAAAATAAAATAAAAAAGTTATTTGTACAGAAAAAGCCTGTGAACTTTTCCCCTCCTTAGAGTCTGAGACACAGAAAACAAACAGGTAAGAACACAGATGAAACTATTCCACATTATTCCTTCACGACCTGTTGAACCCGAGTGCAGTTGATATAGCCACTCTATGGATGTTCACCAGCCTGAGAAAAATGAGCTAAAAGACCTTGGTTTAGTTTGCAGCAAACCACACCTCATGCACACTGATCTAAAAACTATATTCCTTACCAGCGAGGACTGTCCATACTGTTACAAAACTTTGACAAAATGATCAAGATTTAATCAAGTAGAAAAGTTAGATAGAAAACTGAAAAGTAAAACGTATAAGTTAGGATTGTTAAGTTTAACGAGTAACTATAGAGACTTCACTAGAAAATTACTGGATCTTTCTATGTGTTGTTTTAAACCAAGGAACCATGAACACCTCATCACCCAGCTACTGCATTTTTCTATGTTTTGTTTTAAGAAGTTAAGGAGGCCGTCACGGACACCAGTTATGCTGCTTGGAAACCCCCTTGCCCCTTCCCATCTTAATTTGAATATCAAGGATTCTAATTAGTAAAGTTAAGCAGAATAACCAATGATTATTATAGAATAAGAATACTGATAAGATAATACATCTAGCAAGACCAATCACTTTAAAGGTCAAAATTAAGAGTGAGAATAATATGCGATTTTATGTAAAAGAACTTATGTAACAATGACTCAACAAAACAAGTGTACAAAAACCTATGGATTTTGATGCTAAGATGGACACGCTTGGACGGAGCTATCCTCCATGTTCCCCAGCGCTGGAATAAAGGAGTGCCTGTTTATCTACTTCATGCAGATGAATTTTCTTCCCGGCTGCTGACAGTTTTACTGGTACCAATACTGCAGCAGAACGCCTAATCCGCA